ACAGACAGACAGACAGAGAGCTGTGATCTTACCCAGCACAGACAGACAGACAGAGAGCTGTGATCTTACCCAGCACAGACAGCCGCGCCCCATTGCTCTGCCTGGTCTCCCCACTGTATTTGTGCTTGGTGATGCAGCGGTAGGTGGACAGGGCATCCTCCTTCTGGACATCCGATATGTACAGAGCTCCATAGGAAGTAATAAAAAACCTATTGCCTGAAAGACAGAGAGGTGGGAAGAGGCCAGGTTACTCCACTGGCTGGTACGCCCCTCCACAGCAGAGGAACTCAAGCCTGCACGTTCCTGTTCACATTGGACCGATCAAAACGAAACCACAACAGTGGACTGAAATCCTCTATGGGTCCCTTCTCGAACCCTGCGTCATCTACCGCATGTGGGGCTGTGTATCCGAGGAAGGGCTTTCGAACTGCCCTCACGCAGCCTCTAGGCACCCCGCCCCTCGAACCCGGCGCCGCTAATCCGACAGACAGCACTGACAGGATGTTTTTAGGACCTGCTCACGAGTGTCGACGGACAGCGAGAGGGCTATTACCCGCCTGAGAGTAACTCAGGAGCCAATCAGAAGACCTTAACGGCCTTCCACCACTGTACCCCAGTGAGAGCCCACTATGCTTATTATAATGTCTGCTTGAGAGGGTCCATGAAATTGCATATGTGCAGGAGTACAAATGTAAATGTGCACACACAGAAGTGTAGGTTTCATATACACTGTATATAAGGACAAGCAGAAGTGTGTATATAAGGACACGGACAAGTGTGTGCCTACAGCATATACAGTACACTGTATACAAGGACAGGGACATGGAGAAGAGTGTGGACATGAACAATACAAGAACAAGTAGAAGTGTGTGTATATATACTGTAAATAAGGACAAGCAGGAGTGTGTGTATTTACACACTGTATATAAGGACATGGAGAAGTGTGTGGACATGTACAAGAACAAGCAGGAGTGTGTGTATTTACACACTGTATATAAGGACATGGAGAAGTGTGTGGACATGTACAGTGTGTGTAAATGAGTGCACAGGAGGCTGGCCAGCCCAGAACAAGGCCTCTGACAATGATAAATCCACAGGAGATCCCCGCTCTCCCGGGCCTGGGAGTCCCGGAGTGAAGAATGACGATCAATAGATTTTATAGCTGCTGCTCCATCCAATCCAGATTTATTACGGCAGAGGGACAGGCCCCGGCTCCGGGCAGAGAGGAGCACTTCATCAAACTAACAAGCTCCTTCTTGCTCTCCTGCCTCTCTGGCTACGCGCTGGGCTGCTGCTCCAAACCGCGCTGCTGATCAATAACCTCTGCGTCTCCCTCTCCGGCTTCCTGGACCCCTCAGTCTCCTGCTTTCCAGCCCTTTTCCAGTCCTGGTCTCAGCTGGTCTTCCATCGGGGCACACAGTGGTGCAGTGGTGAGCGTCGCTACCTGGCAGCGCTGGGGCCCTGGGTTCGATGCCTGGGGCGCTGTCTGTGCGGAGCTGTGGACGTTTCTATTTCTGTTTTCACATGGGCTTCTTCCCACAGTCCAGAGACACAGTGGAGGGTTAATTGGCTCCTGGGTAAACTGGCCCTGGTGTGAGTGTGGGTGTCCTGTGACGGACCGGTGTTCCGTCCAGGGTGTGTGTGTGTGTGTGTGTCGGTGTGTGGGTGTGTCCTGTGACGGACTGGTGTCCCGTCCAGGGTCTATGTGTGTGTCCTGTGACAGACTGGTGTCCCGTCCAGGATCTGTGTGTGTGTCCTGTGATGGACTGGTGTCCCGTCCAGGGTGTGTGTGTCCTGTGATGGACTGGTGTCCCGTCCAGGATCTGTGTGTGTCCTGTGTCAGACTGGTGTCCTGTCCAGGGTGGTACCTCACCACACACCCTTTGCTAGCAGGGATAGGCTCCTGTTCCCCTGTGACCCTGACATGGAGGAAACAGTCAGAAAATGGATGGATGTTCTCCTGCTGGTTCAGTTCTCTCTCCCTTTTCATCCTCGCGTAGGTCTCTCTCTCTCCATTCCCAGGGTGTCTGTTCTCTGTTTATAACTCTGACTGTGCGCAGGTGTATGAGCAGGAGCCTCATACATACTCATACTGACCATCCACCTGTGCCGAAAAACACGCCAACACGCAAGAGGAGCCCCTTCTAGCTAGTTGGCAGTTAGGAGTTCGTTGACCCGAGGATCTCATCCAGCTGAATGTGGAAGAAGCCAAAGTATCGGCTTTCAACAACACGACTGTGCAGCTCGTTCCACGCTCCCGCAACTCTTTACGGACAGAAGCGCTTCCTGTCGTCAGTTTCAAAGGCACTTGTGCTGGTGTCCTCTGGCTTGTGCTTCACTGTTGATAAAGGGCAGACTTCTGTCTAGCTTTCCCATGTGACTGGGGTTCGGTTGTCTCCCGGGAAAGAGATCAGCCTGAGTATAACACCTCTATAAAGGTAGAGAAATACTGCCATTACAGCAGGTGGTTAATTAAGTGGTTTGTGTGGTATGTTCTGTTTAATTTAATGACTCACATGTGAAGTATTGCTGCCTGTGCTGTACTGTCTCTTCAGTGTCATTTCCTTTTCTGATTGCGGCTGGAAGAGATGACAGTACTGATGCTGCTGTGTCTCAGGTGTACGAAGGCATGCCCTGTCTCTGGCATAATAAACACTCATTCACTGTTACACGTGGATCTGGTTGCCTTCATCAATTCCCACACTAGTATTATGCTGCTGGCATCACTACAGCACTTCTTGTGCTGTTGAAACTCCAAGTGCACTGCTGTACAGTTTTATCTGGAAATCTGGGCACTCAGAATAGACCTTTTAAATTCCGGAAAATGAAAACCAGACACACTGAAATTCAGAAATTCAGAGACTGGAGCACTATATTTCATATCCTGTGAAAGGGATGTGTCTTGTACTTCCTGTGTTTTGTTGAGGATCTGTGAAACTACCACACCAGTAAAAAGTCTGCAAGATTAGATGTACTGTACACCATTCAGAAATACACACCGAGTTCTCCTCACCTCACTCATCCGATCTAATGGCGATTCAGGTAAACATACAGTAGGTCTTTTCCCCGTTTCCTGTTTCCCTGTTTTACAACTTATGGAGATTGCTACTTTGATAGACGGATTTCATTTTAGGCCCCCTCCTACCATTTACTGTGCGTATTCCACCTGTCCACACCTCTCTACCCTGCGTTTGGACACTCTCTCTCACCCTCTCCACCCTCTGATCCCCTGCGTGTCGTACGCCGGCCTCCTTCCCCTCTCCCCCTCACCCCTGAAGGAGGAGCAGCAGCCGAAACCCTCTGCTTCTCCCTGCTTTTCGGTGTCGAATTGACCTTGACTTGTTCCTCTGCGACCGGTGCTCTGGCCGAGAAACTCAAACAAATTGAAATCTCGGGCGCTCTGCGCGGGCTCCCGTCCAAACCGTTCGCCGGGGTCCAGGTGTCTCTAACCCTTGAACCTTGACCCCTGACCCAGCGCCGGTGCGGAGATCTTCAGCCCCAGAGTTCAGCAGGGACGCAGGCCACTGAAGCCGCGCGCAAAGACGCATTGCATTCACCCCATGCCAGTTCAGAGGTTCGTTTCTCCTCTCGCTCCACTTTGTTTTTCTCTCCCTTAATTTCCCACCAGAGAGAGAGAGAGAAAGAAAGAGAGAGGACTCTCGCTGGGTAAAGAGACGCGCAGCGTGTAATTTAGAAGTCAGGAGCGTTCAGCCTTCGAATTAAAGTCTTACACGATAATGTACACTTGAGGAATTACCTAGCCAACACAGGTACGCTGCTGTCATAACACCGCAGCCTGCGCTCCCCCGGCAGCTCTCCCCCAGGGCGGGAGCGGGAAGGGGAGGGATCGCACGCGCCAAGCCACGGAGGAGGAAAGCGGGGAAGGAGACGGCAACATCGGCAGAGGGAGGAGGAAAAAAAGAACCAGGAACCCGGAAGCGCCGCCCTGCGCGGAGAAGGATGTCAAGGTCAGGCTGCAGGAATGCCAAGTCCCGGGACGACGGTCCCAAAGCATAACTCCCAGAAGAAAATCCACACGTCTCCTGCTTCTCTGCCGATGACTGTGCTCTCCTCGCCTCTCTCCTTCTGGGTGGACTCTCTCTCTCGCTCCTGCCTGTGGCTCCCCTGTCGTACACCCGTCCCCTCCTTCAGTCAGCAGTGTCAAGAAGGAGTCTCACCCCGCCGCTCTGAGCAGGCACAGCGCCACCCGTCTGCGGTCAGTGCTTCTGCGGAGGTCTGAGCTGAGATGCACTGGGCTGAAAACGGCCCCTTCCAGAGAACAGTGAGGGAGACACACACGAGGTGCATCGCCCCCGGTGCCCCCAAGTGCAAGAGTCATACAGGGAGTCCAGCCGTGCTCACCCTGTGGCATCACCAGGAATGGGGGGTATAGGAGGGACCACTCCTGTTACGGCCCAGTGGCTACTGCTGACGATGTCATCCCTGAGGTGTCGCGCGCGACAGCAGGTGCCCGTTCAAAACTCCCTCAGGCCAGATCGGGAGAAACCACCCCCAGGCCACAGCCAGATGTCTACAGCCGCCCCCCCAGCAGCGGTTAGGGCTCTGGCCTCAGCGCTGGAAGGGTGGGGGGTTCACGTCCCAGGTGACCCTGATGCCGCCGGTGCCCCCAGAGCGAGGGGATCTGTCGAGGGGATCGTGGCACCAGCCGGTCTGGCCTGCAGAAGCAGGTGTGGGAATCGGGGGGCAGGGCCTTCGATCGCGGCCGGACACTCGGGTTCAGCGGAGATCAGATCTATCACGCGGAAAGGGCGAATGCATTAGCCCGGCAGCTCCCGTGAGCTTGTTTACTGAAACACAGATGTAGGGCGAAGGCAGCTATGACAACAACACATGATTCTTTCATATTTAGCTTTCACAGTGTTTGGGGGGGGGATATTAGCGGGAGTTCATTCGGGGCCAGAGGAGGCAGAGCCCTGCGGAGAAAGGAGCTGTGTCTGGGCTGTGGCTCCACTCCAGACCTGTTTGAGCGGTTACAAGACGCCGCAGTGATTTCTCCCCTGTTTTACCCACCACGCCGACATTCCCAACACCGGTTTTCTTCTGAATTAAACATTGGGAACGTTTCTCTCGCTCGTGTTCAGCAATGTAACGACCAGCCGCGTGGCAGACTGTGTTAAATATTAATCTGCTCTCCCTTGCTCTGCGTTTTTCTTTCTTATGTGGGACTATGCACGTATTCAGAATGAGAGGGGAAA